TAATAATAATAATAAATAATAATAATAATAAAAAATAATAATAATAACTTTATTCAATAAAGCGCAAAACAATCCATTTGAAATGATCACCGGCGCTGTACAGAATTTTAAAATATACATAAGAGTGGAGTTAAATAGCTTGGTGGTAAAGATGCTTGCTTTCCAATCCCAGGGTCCTGGGTTCAATTCCTGTCAGTGTTGCAGGATTTTTTCTCACGATCAAAACAACTCCACTCCCTAAATCTCATATTGAGATTTAGTTTGTGTAAAGCATCGTGTGTGTATGTTTGTCTTGTGTAAGGGATGTCACCTACAAGTAGGACTGATATATTCGCTATTGACAATCCTTGGCACATGTATTGTGTGCCTAAATATGTAAAAGAAAAAAAAGATACATTTACAAAAAAATAAAAATATACATAAGAAATATACATTAAAAGTTACATAGAAAAAATTGGAACATAAATCATCACAAAATCACAATACCATTTAGCACATCAAAAATCTACATTGAAATAAAAGAAAATGTGACATGAAAGAGAATGATAAAACACTAAAATATTTTTGGATTTTGTAAATGGAAAAGACAAGACAAGTCCACGAAATTTACATCAAATAGTTAGGAGAAAAAATAAATGTAATGCCGATAAAAACTACAGAACGTATCTTGGAAATTTAAAATAAAGTAGCTTGAAGTAGCTTAAAGTAAAATGCAATGCCGATGAATATACAGTACATCAAGTTTCATGAAGTTGAACTACAAGTTGAATATACCTGACCTAGATAAAAGTTAAACATTAAATCTCTTTAAATAAATGTGTTTTCAAATGAGACTTGAAAACACAATGGTAGTACAAGATCTAATATAAAGGGGTAAAGTGTTGAAAAGCTGCCGGAGGACCAGTATTATTATTATTATAATAATAATAATTAATATTATTATTATTATTATTATTATTATTATTTAGTCTTCTCAAAAGCACGGTGTTCCACCGAAATGCATGGTGGGAATACAAACAATGAATGTGCGTCTGGATGGTCTGGATATACCATAGAGATATAATAAGAAATTGTTTAATAGCTCTATGGGATATACTTAGCCAGAGCCATAGATAGAAAGAGTTGCGACATTGAGAATTTAGAAGCCATTTTGTTTCATACGCGAAGCGCGTTCTGTGTCTAACGCATAGAGCTATTAAACAACTAGAGTGCTGACAAGATGGCGCAGCAATGCAGAGTTATGTATGTGTACCATCCAAGATGGCCGTCGTAGTAAAGCGCCACCTTCAGGCTTAGTCTACATATTATTACATATTAATAAGCCCTTTGACTGACTATTATTTCATTAATGATAATGATTAATGGTAATAACAAATGATTAAACTATTGTAGCCAAAACGAGACCAAGTGGAGCACCTTATTCAAAAATAAAGTACCAAGGAATGAAAATTAAAATCGTGTACATTACACCGAAACACCGCAACGCTCGAGTTTTAAACATATGGGTAACTAGCTGTACTGAACTTTCTGAGTAAATTGAGGGCGCAATTGCAAACGATGGTGCTTAGCGAAATTTGATTGGCTAAATCTATGGTAGCCATCTTGGATGGTACACACACACAGTTCTGCGTATTTCGAACATCGAATACATTGCGGTTATCTATGGTCTAACCAAGTCTAACGTGATGTGCGTTCCTGTGTATAACATTGTATAAATACAGTTAACAGCCTCCTGTATAGTTTAATTCCATTTAATCTTTTTAGCAGTCGAATTTCATGTAACTGTATTTATAGATTTTTCTTTTAATGATTTCACTACTTTATATCCAATTTCATATTATAAATACTGTAATAA